CTGACCATAGCTCAATTGGGTTTTATTTAAACAGTCCTACCAAACACCATCCCCAACATACTCGTTGACAATACAAATATCTTCATCCACATGTAAAAAGAGCTAAAAATAATGGAAGCATTATTAATAAAAAAGAAAAAAAACAACTCAATAAAATCACGTACGAACACGGCCACAGTGTTTTGACCGTGTTTGAAAAAAATTCCTATAACTCTAGATACATGCATGAAAAATTCATACAAATTAAATAAAAGTCTTAATCGCAGTACCTTGTCAATCGTCTTTAATAAAACTTCTATAAAAGAGGGATAATAATGCCAAAATACAATATATATATATATATATATATATATATATATATATATATATATATGTGTGTGTGTGTGTGTGTGTGTGTGTGTGTTTTAGAAGTGCTTGAAAACCAAACTGCGGATTATATCAAGCCTTGTGAGAAATTGATTCAGTGAAACTTTTCGGAAACCGTCGATATTTACGCTAGCATGATATCACAAGCCATTGTGTCAGAGGGTGTGATCGTATTCCTCTTGTTCAAACTGTTGATACCACCAAATTATGCACTCTCTCTCTCTCTCCCTGAAACTGTAAGTTCCTCTCAGCACTGGTTGGATCTGTCGGTGCTGAAGAAACACAAATGTACCCGAGCGGGCGCCTGCAACAGGGATTAGCAAGCCACCTGAGCAGCAACGAGTAGCCGGCCGTTATCATAAAGTAAATAGATGACCAGGTAGCTAAAATGTTTGAGCGAAAGCTAGAGTGTTAGAAAGACATGAACAGAATTCGATGTCGAATGTGGACGATAATGGCTCGCCGTAATTTCCTATCTCTCGTTACACTAAGTAAAGTTTCACCCTTTACCCCACTCTTAGTCTATTCATTCACCCAAACCCTTTATGTAGGTTACTCGCTGTTACCCGCTCTTTCCTGCAGTATGCCTTAAACTGTTCAAATTTCCAAGCCATTTTTTTCTTTCTGATAATGTATCCTAAAAATATTACCTGTCTTTTTCTGGTTTTAAGTATAAGTGTCTTTTTTTATTAAAATTTCCTTTAGAACTTTCCCCATGTTCAATCGATAGTCATCTCGGCATCCTTCTGTAGAATCACACTTCTACCGCCTAGAGGGTCTTCTTCATCTGTAATGAAACTGTCCAGCATTTACTGCCATATAGGAGGATTTGCAATCTTTCGTGTCAGTAAAAAAAACAAAGAAAAATGTGTTAAAAAGACGGTTTTTCCTTTGACTCCGCTATTATTTTAGCTACCTTCTCTCCTTCGTGTTGTTGTTTTAAAAAGCAATGATTAGAATTATAATGAAACCTAAACATATGATGAAAATTAATTTATACATTTTTTTGGGGAGGGGGGGTTATTGAGAATTAACAGCAAAAATATTTAACAGCATTTATTATATTGTTTATTTACAAGAATAATTTTATATTTACAACATTCTAAAACTAATACAATTTTATTACAACTAATGCAATGCAATATTTATTATTTACCAATTTATAAAGAAATAAATATAAAAACAATTTTTTAATCATTAATTGATAAAAAAAATTTGCTAAATTATTAAAATATGTGAACCATCAATAAGGAAATCCTTATTTACCATTTTATAAAGTTCGATTCGAATCCGAATCTGTGTTTTGCCAACCATTCCAATAAAGAATCTATTAAATAAATAGTGGATATCATTTTGATTGTTAGTTCTTAAGAACAAAGAAAATGAATAAATTTGTTTAGGTAGTTAAAATAATAGCGGTGTCAAAGGAAAAGCCGTCATTTTGACACCAGTTTTTTTACGGAGACCAAGTTTAAAAATTACCGGTGAGATTGATATGACGTAACAATTAAGCACCATTTTCTTTGTTTCCAATAATGAAAATCACGAATCTTATATTTTCACTAATTTAAGCAATAACTAACTCGTAGCATGGCAAGATGAATTAGAATTATTACATGAGTGACAATGAATCTCACCAACATGGTATTTGGCATTTAATGATGAAAATCTTTAGCTGTTATAGCTCTGTTCTTTTTAGTACTTTTAACTTCTTCCCTGGCCATGTTTGTGGAGTTGAGAGAAGTTCTTGTCTCATCTGGATTTCTGGCTTCTGATAAAGTCTACTCAGCCTCGTCAAAGTCACTCGAACTTGTCATCTTTTGTATGGCTTCAACCTTTCACAGACTTCAAAAGACTTTGAACTTGGTCATTTGTTCCTTCTGTGCTTATCAACGTTAGCAAAGTTTTGCTATTAAACGGCTTGGATGCAATCAGTCAGCCTTGGTTAAAAAGATTTACAAGGAAATTTTCAGCGAGATTTTATTATTTAAATAATTAAACTTTCAGAGTTGCTTTTGCTTAGCAACACAAAATAAAAGAATATTTGTTCAAAGACTTTTAAAATGATGGTAGCTAAATCAGATAAAAGCGCGGGCGTGTGTGTGTGATTGGGGACTTAATCTGATGTAAAAATGTGTGTGTATTTGTGAGTGTGGGGCTGGTTAAAACATGTTAAAATTGTGTGTGTTTATGAGTGTAGGGTTGATTAAATTTGATGTTAAAAGGGTGTTTATTTGTGGGTGTGGCGCTGGTTAAATTTGAAGTTAAAAAGGTGTGAGTGTTGGCTGGTTAAATCTTTTAAAAGCGGAGAGGTAAATCAAATCTTAGAAGCGGGGTGTTAAATTAGATTTAAAGTGTTTGCATGGAGGGGGTGCTAAATAAGATGTTAAGTGTATATGTGTGTGCGTACGCGTGTATGCATGTGTGGAGGTGGCTAGATCTGATGTTAAATTGTGTGCGTTAGGGAGCTAAATCAGATTTTAAAAGTGAGTTCAGTAGGGATGGTGGTGGGGGCTTAAATCAGATACTTTAGTATCCGACTAACGGTCGTCCGACATCGACTGACTGACCAACTCCCTGAGCGACTGCTATCTACTCCTACTTATAGGTGGGAGAGTCTATTAACAATAGAATAGGTGTGTTCCAGTATAACAAGTTGGAGGAGCTAAATAACATGTTACAGTGGGGAGCTAAATAGGATGTTAAAAGTATGTGTGTTGGGAGGTTAAATCAGAGTTAAAAAAAAAGTGTATGCGTAAAGGGCTAGATAGATTTTAAAAGTAGGGGTGCTAAATCAGAAGTTAAAATCTGTGCGTTGCTTAAGTGTTTGCGTGGAGAGGTTTAAATCAGATATTAAAAGTGTGTGTATGTTATGTGGAGGGTGGGGGATAAATCTTAATAAAAGTGAGTGTGTGTGTGTTGAGATCGCTGAATCTGATATTAAGTTTTAAAGATTCATGATTGTATGTTTATTTCTATCTGATCCTCTCATGAAATGAATATTATTTTCACAGCTTTTATTCTACTGGGAAGAGTTGGGTGGGTAGATTTATAAAAAAAAATACAATTTATTTTTTTCACTCGAACTTTTTTTTTCTGGAATAAGACTTAAAATCATTTCCCCGCATATAAGACATTTTTCTTTTTTTTTTTTTCTCTAATCATTTCACCCCAAACAAGGTGACGCCACTAGAACGCAGGGCGTAAGTGGTGGGGGTGGGGGTTACAGAGAATGAAAGTGAACGAGAAGAGGAGGAGGGAGGAAACTGGAAAAAAAAAAAAAAAAAAAAAAAAAAGAGGGCTTCATTCAAGAAGACAGAAGAGGACGATTGAGGCTGCATTTAAATTTTTCAAGATTGTAGTTATCAGGGAAGAAAGAAATCGAAAGTTCCACTGGTGGGAAGTGCGAGAAAAGAAAAAAAAAACTAGAGATGACGATTACATCTCGCTAGTACAACAGTAAAACGATGAGACTTAGTTGCCAATCTATTTAGAAAATTAATGGCCGATAATTTTAGGCAAATGATACAGCTCAGATCAATAAGCAGTTTCATAGAGGACAGTTTTTTGCATTTGTTTTTCCCCCAGATGCTTGGAGTCATAACGAGCAGATATTTCCTCGGATTGATAATTTTGGTCTGACACAGAATCGAAAGGAAAATGAAATATGCTAAGACCAGGATGTTTAAAAAAAATGTTTAAGTGTTGACGTTTTGCTACTTGACGTAAGCGTTTTAAACCACAAATAAAAACGCTAAAAGTCATGGCATCTTTGTTAAGCAACGCGTTGCGGTTAATTTTGAAATCGTCAGAGAAAATGGTTAATAGAAATGTTAAAATATATCCGTGAACAAATCAACGAGATCTGAACACATGAAATCGATTAACATTTAAATATGGTATTTAAACATGGAAAAATAAAAATCAATAATTGAAAATTTTGGTAAAAAAAAAATGAAAAAATCTCGTATAGCTAAAGAAAATATAGTGAATACTTTTTATTAAAAATGTAATTTTAATTAGATTTTTATTTAATTAGAATTTGCAATTTTATTGGTCCTAACCTAACATCTCAGCTTTAGTCACGTTCCCACCGCCGTAATGTATTTTTTCCATAAATATTTTTATGGTAATTCTTCTGATAAACTTTCTTCTGATAAACTTTCCTCTATAATACATAGTATTTATGAATTTAAGCGCAGTACTAGATTGGCGGTGAGGTCTCATTATTTTACAATTGAAATGGCTAGATATAACCAGAAGTTCTATGCTAACAGTTTCTTTACTCGCACTTGTCACTTTTGGAACTCTCTTCAGGGTTCTTGCTTTCAAGTCAACTTTGATCTTCAAAAAATTAAATGCAATGTCAATCGTTATCTTCTGTCTTCTTAATTCTTGTTCTTTTGTTTTCTAACCTTAGTGTTTTTTTTCCTCATATTCTCTCACACTCACTAACCCCTTGCATCTTAGTGGCTTTATTGCCTTGCTTGGGGTGAAATAATTAAAAAGAAAAATTATGATTATATTATTTAGGCGTAGAGGAAAGTATGGCATTTATTTAATATCTTATTCAGATGTTTAGCCAATATCTATTTTAATATTTTCTTTAAGTATTGTCTCATACAGAAAATGGCTTACGGCCATATCACGTTGAAAAACCAGCACCTGTACGATCACCGAAGTTAAGCAATTTCGAACCTGGTCAGTAACTTGATAGGTAACTGTTTGGGAATACTAGTGTTGTACACTTGGATGTTCAGGAGGAGTAATGTATAATGTTGTTAATCGGAGAGCAGAGTTCCAATTCCAGTTGGGTTTGTTATATTCAGTTACGAGTAAATACATTTGGGAAAGGTATGAATCCACAACTTCTCCCCCAGCTATGGGTTAATTAGTACGACGTGTCATTATTATCAAAAAGAAATTCTTACTATCTAAAGATATTAAATAACCCGCAAAGGGTTGATAAGCCGTAGAAAATCAATCAATCAATACAAATAAATGTAATTTATAACGTAGCTGATTGATGTTATAGTCAACTTTATCCACACATCGATTCTAAATTTTCTTAGACAAACTGATAATTGTACAATCCACTCTTAAGGAGTTCTCAGTAATTAACTGATGATTTTTTTTTTTCATTTTCTGTTTTCTTTATACTAAGTTTGATGATGTAAGCATAATTATGCGTTAGTTGTGTTGCCTTTATCATCGGCGCTGATTTTTTTTCACTCTTTTTGCCTGTGTGCGCACGTGCCTCTTCCTGTGTGTGTGTGTGTGTGTGTGTGTGTGTTTCCCTTTTTCAATATTTTCTTATCTCTTTATACTCACTATCCGTTCCTTTTCTTTCATTTTCTCTGTTGGCTCTGAGTGTCAAAGATAATGTAACAATGTCATTCCTAATGTCACAGAAAGCCTAAGTTGAACACGATAAAACCCAACTTTGTAGAAAACACTACATAAAGCTCTGGAGAAAATGTTATTTGCAGTTGGTCGGATTTTTACTGTTTAATATTTCATCTTTAGCTTAGCTTATCACTGGAGTTAGCAAGCTCATCCAGTAAATCATGACTACTGAGTAACTCCTTTTAAAAATTAAACCTTGTTGTCGGGCCAAAAGTGTTTAATTAATTACCCTATGCACGTGTATCATTAAACCATAATGCAGCATTTAATGAAGTTTTTCTTTTCTTTTCGATGGTTACTGACTGGGAATTTAGGAGAACGTAATTTGAAAGAGTTGGTATTTCTTTTTTCTTCATTAAAAGAAAAAAAATGTAAACGTGGGACCGAACGTCCCTTTTCCGCAAAAAATAAGGTTGTGGAAATCTAGAGTTGCTCACCTCCTCCTCTTTAATCTCAACTCTATCCCGTGTAGTGACATATCCCAGAATTCTAACTTGTTACCGCTGTAGAAAAGGACGGCCAATCAGTGGTTAGCAGGGCTGATGGTCGACTCCTGGAGATCGTCTCACTGCGACATCCTGGCCTCACGTTTTCAACTGACTTGAAGTGGAACAACTACATTGAATCAATAGCTGCATCTACTGCAAGGAAAGTTGGTTCACTGTGTCGTGCCAAAAGGTTTTTCTCGTCAGAGCCCATCTTACACATTTACAAATCTACCATTCGTCCATGCATTGAATACTTTTGCCATATCTGGTCTGGTGCCCCTGATGTTCATCTGAGATTCTTGACAAAATCCAAAGAAGGATTTACGATATAATCAATCCTGACTTGATATGTCAACTTCAGTCACTTTCTCACAGACGTGACGGCCCTCTGTCTTTTCTGCAAATATTTTCATGCAACTGCTCTGGTAAGCTTTTTCCGCTGGTACCCCGACTACATGAAACTAGGCGTGCTACTAGATTGGCATTTACTGTTGAAATAGTTAAATGCAACCGCCTCTTCTACTTCAACAGTTTCTTTTCTCGCACTTCCTGACTGTGGAACTCCTTTCCATTCCCTTGCTTCCCTGAAAACTACAATCTTCAAAAAATCAAATGCAACGTCAATCGCCATCTTCTGTTGTCTTGAACCCCGTTCATCTTTAATCATTTCATCAATACCCCCACCCTTTACCCAGTCTTTTCTCTCACTTTCACTCTCTGTAACACCCTACGTACTACTGGCATTCCCGCGTTGCCTGGGGTGAAATAATTAAAAACAAAATTATCATTTTTTTTTTTAAGTTCTTGCAATCTAAAAAATATTTTCTGGCTTTAAATAACTTGCTAAGGTTGATAAAATGTAGAAAACGAATCAATCAGCAAGTAACATATATATATAGAATATTTTCTTTCTTTCTTTCTTTCTTTCATTCTCTCTCTCTCTCCCTGTGAGATATCCCATCAGCACGGGGTTGAACATAAGCCTCCACAGCTTTTTGTTCTTTTCATCTAAAGAATTACATAAACTTCAAAAACACACAGGAGCCCTCGAGAGCTTCCCCATTATTAAAAAACGAGAATAATTCTGATCTGCCTAATGTCATCGGTTCTCAAGTAGGCATTTATGTAGATGACGCTACTATTTACTCCTATCTGAATAGCAAATCCGTCAGAGCTGTCAAAGTTAACCTTGTTGCTGCTGTTGAAAAGGACCGCCAACCAGTGGTTAACTGGGTCAGGAAATGGCTTGAGTCAGTCAGTAGTTCGATCTCAGTCGACCGCTTGAACTCTCTGCCTTCGGGTAGGGAGGAACCCGAAGGAGGCTACGCCGAAGGGCAGAGTCTCTTTCGGGGAGGTAAACCGGCCCTGAGCACGTTAATACGGGTTCAATGGGCATATTTTTGGCCGAGCTCACGGGCTCGGAGATCCCACGTTAAAAAGGGCTTGTGCCACATGACGCCCTCATGGGGGTGGGGGGTGACTGAATATCGTCAGGAAATGGCTTGTAAATTTTAATGCTTCCAAAACTGCTCTTATTTACCCACCATAGAGAAACTCACCTGCCCGTAGAACGTAGATGACATCATATTTGATAGTGAAAAAAGACTGCATGAATTCCCAAAAAGGTAATAAAGGAAAGTAAGAAAAAAGGACTAACTGTCAGCTGAAAAGAAAATGTCGTTAGCAAGAAGGACAGGCCTTTATGTCAGCTATACACAGAAATACATACAGAAATTTAACTTAACAGAAACATCCATAATATAATGAAACTGATACACATTAACGTTTCTTTAAATGATTGCAAATTCACCCGTAATTTTTTTCTTTTTAATCATAAAACCAGATTTTAAAATGGACTACCAACAGGGCCGGTGCGTACTACTCCAGATTACCCCGACCGGCGCTCTGCTGATTTGGAGCCCTGGGCAGTGCTTTGTAACCCTCGCTATCTTATCAACATTCGCTTTTTTTTTTTATAACCACTTTTATATACGTTACAAATTAAACCAAATACAAGTGTCTATTTAAGGATAAATTTTTTTTCGCGGATTTTAACATCATCCTAAGGTCTTTTCTTTCTTTTTTTTTTTTTTTATCCAAATCCTTGAATTTGTTTTGCTCACGTTAATTCTTGGAAAAAAAAAAAAAAAACACTATAAAAAAATTCATTTTTGTTTTTATCCATAATGTTGAATGTGTTAAAATTATTCAACTTTTTAACAAGAAAAATCGCAAGTTGATGTCAAAAATTGCCGCAAAACATTGTAGATTTATTTCCGATGGAATGATCTATTATGACATGTCTCTAAGTTGTATTTCGATACACTGGATTTACTTTCAATTTTTCTTGTTGAAAAGTTCACTTACATTGCATACGTTTCATTAGTGTACATAATTAGCTTACAATAAAATTGGTATTTTGTATGAATACTACTTTATGAAAATTGAGATTTAGCAGAGTGGGGGTGGAGGGTGGGGGCGTATCATAGATTAACCGACATAAAAATGAAATTTGAAAAGCGACTTTTTCAAATTGCTTCTTATTTACTCGGCGAGCAGGTGTCGGTTCATTGCAGAATCACCAACTTGATGTGTGCAGCTGGTAAAGAGATTAAATCTCTAATGTTAGTTAAAGGCTTGTTTGATTTTTTTTGTTCAAACAGGTGGTGGGCTTCTTCTGTTAAAAACATTGTCAATTCCAAAAGAGGAACAGCTATAAGACTGCTTCAAGCGTTTGGGGTGGAGGGGGAAAGGCAGATGCCATTGCTCAGCTGGTAAACCCATGAGCGTTCTTCATCCAATCTAAACACATGGTTTAATTCTCCCATCAGGGAGCAACTCAACTGAAATTACTTCGTTTTTACGCCAGAAAAAAAAATCTATTCGTAACTCAAAATGTCGCCATGCACATTTCTTCTTATGATTACAACACCTGGAGTTACTGCTTTTAGTTTACTCACGCAATATAGTCATAAAAATGAAGATACATTCTTCTTTGTTCTGTAAAATTCTATAAATGCTGGTTAAAAATATGACAGCAACTAAAGTAACACCTTTAAAGAAATATTGCAAAGAGAAATGTGTAAGTTAGGTAAAGTTAGGAGTAATGGATAGCAGCTCGGATTGAGGACTCGGAGAACAGAGTTCGAATTCCAGTCGAATCCATTACATTCACTTACGTTCTAAAACCCTTGGGAAATGTATGAATCCTCTTTTCCCCAAGCTACGGGTAAAATAGCAGGACAGACTGAGTTCTACAGCTTTGGATGGCAACTGGTCTACAGCAGAAAGAAATGACAACCTACTGCGGGAAAAAATGTGCCTCGCCAGTTATGTATCGACAGATACATGATCGCCAAAGCGTGTATCACGCATGTCATATAATTAAAGGTTAGATCCTTTATGAACCCCCCCCCAAAAAAAAACCCAACACGACTTATAGGACAAAAGTGAAGAAATGATGTAATTCTTTGTAGAATCATTATTGTCGATAAAATTATAGGTCTATGCAATATATAATTACTGCCAAAAAACAACGATAATTAAGGTTTAACATGCAGTTTAGAGATGAAAATCATTCTTGAAGCTTTTATTTCAACTTTAATTCCAATCTAATCAGTCAGTTATGTGCCATGCGTGATACACGCTTAGGCGATCATGTATCTTTCGATACATGATTGACGAGGCAGATTTTATTTCCCGCAGTAGGTTGCTATTTCTTTCTACGGTTATAGAACCAGGTCTGTCCTGCTATTTACCCATAGATAGGGGAGAAAAGAAGATTCATACCTTTCCCAAGTGTATTAACACGTAGCTGAATGTAATGGATTCAATTGGAAAGTCAATCAGTC